ATGACCCCATGAAGGAACTTTCGCGGCCTCCTCTGGAGCAAACCCAAAGAACGATTCCAGCCAATATGGATCAGGCTTCGGCTCATCATCTGCTAGGACTCTCTTTTTCTGATACTTTCTTTTCGTCTTCTTCTTTTTCTCGCCATCATCAGGTCTGCTAGTTACAACAGGAGTAGTTAACGCAGCCTTTATCAAATCAACTACCTTCTTATCACGTACATCCCTCATCAGCGCACTAATCACCATCCCAACCTTCATCCCGTCCAAAACCGTACTTAAATCTCCCTTTATATACCACAAATACCCCGCAAAACTTCTCCTAATAACCCTCAAAGCCGTGTGCGCAGTCCTTCCAGGTCGAAAAGCGAATGACTTTTGCGAAAACCGAGCCTCATAAACTGGCTCCAGTATCATAAACAGCACTTCCTGAACAACCCTATCTTGAAACGGGCTCGGCTGTGTCGTAGTCAAGATAGCTTTAATCTTCCTCTTCGACAGCGACTCATAATCCGTCTTATCCCTCGGAGACTTAATGAAAAACTCCAACCTAGCCCCCCACTTAAACCTATTATCAAGAACTGCATTTCTCAAGGCCAACAAATCCTCAAGTGCTGAACGCGTTATCGCGCTCCGGGGCATATACGCACCCGTATCATCAGCAGAAACCTTTTGATAAGCCAATACCCACAATTCAAATCTCCTTAAATAATCAGTTAAATTAGTCACTGTTTTATCGGATTCTCGAAAACTATCAATCCACATTCTACAACAAAGTGATATACCATCTTCTTTCATTAAGGTGGCCGGATCATTCGGGTCCGGTGCTCTCCTATTAGTGTGTGTGGAAGTGTACATATATGCACTAAATACAGTGAACACATTATTTCTAGGGCTACAAATATTCAATTGTGGGATAAATAAAGCACTGATTTTTGGTGAAAAAAATGAAGTAATTTTCAGTACCCGATGACTGGAAATTACTATACGTTGATGCATCAGATATTTTGCATCTGTGAGAGAAAATTCTTCGAATAATTATTCAAAACTTAAGTTGAAATGAAAATTTGAACAAAATTTGAAGACAAAANTTGTATGTGGAAGTGTACATATATGCACTAAATACAGTGAACACATTATTTCTAGGGTTACAAATATTCAATTGTGGGATAAATAAAGCACTAATTTTTGGTGAAAAAACTGAAGTAATTTTCAGTACCCGGTGACTGGAAATTACTATACGTTGATGCATCAGATATTTTGCATCTGTACGAGAAAATTCTTCGAATAGTTATTCAAAACTTAAGTTGAACTGAAAATTTGAACGAAATTTGAAGACAAAATTGAGGTCTTACCATATATCCCTGAGAATGAATGTGAAAGTGTCAGCCTGTAAGGGAAAATGGGAAAACAGAAAACCCTTAAACCCTATTACTGAACCCTAAACGGTTTTTTGATCCACGAGCTATTTCGGTTTAAATTTGGATTCAAATCGGGTTATCTCACCAGTTATTCGGATCCAATAATGAGGTCCATTTTTGTAGAAATAGCACCATTGATCACTTTTAGATCATGTTTTTCAAAAATAGCCACTGTCATGAAGTTTCAGGGGGATTTGCATCTATACCCTTTTGGCCACCTTTTAACTTATACCCGCTTTGCAAAAAAAATTGCAAGCGTACCCACTTTTCGCGTAACTTCAGGCATACGGGCCTGAAGTAGCAAAAATTTATGTCTGAAGTTTGAACTTCAGAATTTTTTGCCGGAAGTTTGGCCTGACTTGCAAAGACAATCACACAAATTTCAGTTCATAAGCAAGGGCAAACTTCAGTTCAATTGTTTATGTCTGAAGTTTGAACTTCATAATTTTTTGCCTGAAATTTAGCCTTATCAAATCAAAACTTCAGATATTTTTGCCTGAAGTTTGGCCTGACTTGCAAATGCAATCACGCAAATTTCAGTTCAAAAGCAAGGGCAAACTTCAGTTCAATTGTGTACTTCAGATATTTTTCTATGAACTTCAGTCATTTTGATATAAATTTCAGATATTTTGACATAAACTTCAGACATTTGGTTATGAACTTCAGATATTTGACTAAGATTGTCAAACATATGGGGTATATACTTCAGATACTAAAGTATAAACTTAAGACATTTGAGTCTGAAGTTAGATGCTGCTATTGGTTATCCTCTTCTTCCATGGCTTATTACACCATATGAAGGTGACGACATCTCAGATGCGATGTTGGATTTCAATGCATTGCGTAAGACTCCAAGGTCAGTTGCGGTGAAAGCTTTTGCGCTATTGAAAGGAGTTTGAGAATCCTTAATAAGGTTATGTGGAAACCTGATAAACAGAAACTCCCAAGTATCATTCTCGTGTGTTGTTGGCTTCATAATATTATCATCGATTGTGGAGACCGATTACATCCTGACGTTGCCTTATCTGGTCGTCATGACCCAGGATATGAGGGAAGATGACGGTTTTATTCTTGCATATTGACATGAACTAAGAGATACAGTTCAACGTGCACTCTCAAGATCCTAAATTGGGGAACTCATCAGAAAAGAAGAGGAGGAAGAAAGGAACGCATAGGTCAGGAAAAAGAGGCGGAGGCGTCTAAAGTTGTTAAAATTAGGGTATAGGTTAAATAATTTTAAAAATATGGGTATATGTTAAATGGGGGCGGCCAAATAGGGCGCCCAGTGCAATTTTTGCGAAGTTTTACATATGAAATTTGAAACTTCACAAATATAATTATTTTTCAATTACTAATAAATGGTTAGTTGTGAATTTTACCCATCTATATTGGGTCTCAATCCAGTCTGTTGTTATCAAATGACTTACGCCATTTATTTTTCAAGATGAGTATAAGTAGATTAAACGAATCATTTTAATTTGTAGAGTTTAGTAGTTAATTAAAGAGAATGCAAACAAATATAAGGAAACTGTTTTAAGAAATATTCATGTCAAGTTAACTTTAAACAAGAAATTAAAATTTGTTGGAGCTAAAATAAGAAATTCACGTCTTTCTCTTCTTCTTTTTT